AAAAAAAAAAAAAAAAAAGACGTATTTATATATGTTTGCGTTTTGAGAGGATCGCTTTGGTTGCTATGCGGTGAACCGTTTGAGACCAACCAGGAGACTACAGGCCAGTCGCTAGGTGACCCGGCCTGGGTTGCCGGAGGTCGCTTAGCAACTAGTAAGCGCTGAGGCCCCGCCCCCTGCCGGCTCCACCCCGCGCCGCGCCGGAGCGGGTGGGCGGCCCCGCCCCGCGGCGGGGGGCGGGCAGAGGCTTCTCATTGGCCATTTCGCCGGAAGCAACGGATACTCAATGAGGTCCACAACCGTGCGATCCCGGGGTTGTGGTGTGGTATAGTATGGTGAGTGGTGGCGGCGCTCGCTGCAGACGCGTGGCGGGGCGGGGGAGCAGAAAGAGGAGCTTCTCCTGATGGGCCTGTTTTGCTCCGGGCACCCCAGACTGTACCCAGGCTCTCTTCACTGCAGGCTGGCGGGGTCCAGAGATTGGGACCCGACCGAGGGAACTCGGGACTTCCCACTGGCCCCAGGCCCTGGTGTGTGACTGGCCCTCCCGTTCCTAGAGCCCCAGCGCAAGCCGGGATGTTCGTCCTGGTGGAGATGGTGGACACCGTGCGGATCCCCCCGTGGCAGTTCGAGAGGAAGCTTAACGACTCCATTGCCGAGGAGCTGAACAAGAAGTTGGCCAACAAGGTACTAGGACCACGGTTTGCAGGGGCGGGGGGTGGGGGCTGGAGGATGTCGAAGGGGATTAAAAAAAAAATGGGCTTGAAAAAGGACATTGTAGCTGGAAAGTGCTAGATTCAGCAATTCCAAATTACTTTGCAATCTTAGGCAAGTTATTTACCACCTCCGGGTCTCAGCTTCCATTTGTAAAATTGGGATAAAATGTTGTTTTACCAACCATGTATTGTTTTTTTGAAGATGGACTTTTCTGGTAGTATAGCGTTAACTGTCAGAAGTTTAACCCATTCCTTCCTTGTGTGCGCCTTGCTTGAGCCTTGGGGCCAGCTGAGCACGGTGTTCTCACTGCCCTTTGGGTTGCTCCTCAGTTACTCTGTGTTATATCACCCCCTTTCCTTAGCACTCACTACAATCTTTATTTCTTTTCTTTCTTTCTTTTCTTTTTATTTTGAGACAGAGTCTCACTATGTTGCCCCTGGTAGAGTGCCTGGCATCACAGCTCACAGTAACCTTGGGTTTAAGCGAGTCTCTTGTCTCAACCTCCCAAGTGGCTGGGACTACAGGGGCCTGCCACAACACCCAGCTATTTTTTGGTTGTAGTTGTCATTGTCGTTTGGCAGGCCTGGCCTGGACTCAAACCCACCACCTTTGGTGTATGTGGCTGGCACCCTAGGTGCTAAGCTACAGGCGGGGAGGCACACTCTTCTTTTCTTTTTTTTGCTTTTTTGTTTTTTTTGTCTCACTTTGTTGCCCTAGGTAGAGTGCTATGGCATCACAGCTCACAGCAACCTCCAGCTCCTGGGCTCAAGTGATTCTCCTGCCTCTGCCTCCCAAGTAGCTGGGACTACAGGTACCCGCCAGAACGGCTGGGTATTTTTTGGTTGTAGTTGTCATTGTTGTTTAATGGGCCCAAGTTGGATTCGAACCCACAGGCTCAGGTGTATGTGGCTGGTGCCTTAGCTGCTTGAGCCATAAGGTGCTGAGCCCTGGCTATTTTTTTGTTGCAGTTTGGCCGGGGCCGGGTTTGAACCTGCTACCCTTGGTATATTGGGCCAGTGAGCTACTCATTGAGCCACAGAAGCTGCTCTTATTTTCTTGTTTATTTGTTTACTTGGTTACTGTTTTTCTCTTTCCCTCTCCATTGAGGGCAGGGACTTTATCTTTTTCTCTGCAGTATCCCCACATTTAACCAGAGCGTGGCACATGGTAGATGTTTCTTTTTCTTTTCTTTTTTTTTTTTTTGAGACGGAGCCTCAAGCTATCCCCCTGGGTAGAGTGCCATGGCATCATGCTCACAGCAACCTCCAACTCCTGGGCTCAAGCGAGTCTCCTGCCTCTGCCTCCCAAGTAGCTGGGACTACAGGCGCCCGCCACAACGCCTGGCCATTTTTTTGTTTGCAGCCATCATTGTTGTTTGGCGGGCCCGGGCTGGGGATTCGAACCCGCCACCTTAGGTGTATGTGGCTGGCGCCTTAGCCGCTTGAGCCACAGGCACCGAGCCGATGTTTCTTAATTGTTGATTAAATGAATCAAATAGACAAGGCTCTGCCCTGTAGGGTGCTATGAAGAACGAGTGTTCACATACCTATGGAATAAGGGCACTGCAGATTTGTTGAGATGGTGAGGTGAGATCTGATGGTGAGGAGCTGGCCACCAGATTTGTTATTCAGGTGAGAGGGGTTGGGTGGAGAGAGAGCTGTGCATGCAGGGGAGCAGCATATGCAAAGGCCCTGTGGAAGAAGGGCCTGCTTTCTTGGGCAGTGAGGGTGAGAGGTGGGCTGGAAAGATGGATGTCCGGCCATATAGCCCTATGGGACTTCATAGTCCGGGTATTGGTTTTCATCTGTCTGTACAGCAGCATAAGGTTATGGGCTGAGAAGGAGCCAGAATGAGGAAGATCAGCTTTAGACATGAGGTAGGCTCCTTCAAAATAGGCTGGGGTCAAAGGAGGAGGGTGTACAGGTTTGGGGGTTGTTAGGAGTGGAGGGAGCTCATGGGGTCCTCAGTTGATGGCTGTGGTTACTTTGTGAAGTCGAAGGTGAGGAGGTCTGTGGGGCATGAGGTATGTGACCTCATGGAGAGAAAAGATGTGAAAACTCCAAGAAGGGAGTGTACACGTAGTCCCTTTGGGGCACAGGTTCTGTTGAGATAAGTCTTTCTATATTTGAATCATTGAATCATTTGAGGGGAGGCCACACAGAAAAGGTCTGTGGCCTCTCAAAGATCTTGTGCTTTCTAAGCCACCTGGACTCTCGCCTCATCTTGGCGGGATCTGGTGCCAACTCCTAGTTCTCTGAGCTTTTCACTAATCATTGGACAGTTCCTGCAAAGTTTGCATTTGGGCAGTGATGACATTCGTGGCAGATGAGGAGACCCAGAGTGGCCAGTCATTTGGAACACTAAAGTGTGGGGAGGGGGCCATGGAATTTCTGTCCAATGTCAGGGCCTTGGCCATGTGTCACTCTGCCAGCTGCAGCCCTGTGGCCATGTCTGTGTGTCTGAGATGTGAGCATGATGGGGGTTAGCTGTGGTTCTGATGCTCATAAGCTGTGAGCTGCAGCATGGATTTAGGGGAAGTGTAGGTTTAACCAGGGATTCCCATGACTGGTACTAACAGGGATCCCTGATGAGTATTATTTCTAGCTTGTGAGCCAGGTGCTAGGATGGGCTTCACATCCATTGTCTTCTCTTTATTTAACGAACCTGCAGACCAGTGTTTCACTTTTGCAGATGGAGAGACTAACACTCAGGGAGGAGATGTTACCCCCTTGGTGGTTCCACACTGAGTGATGGAGCTAGCCTTGGAACCTTGATCTGTCACCAGAGGCTCTCTTCTTTCCAGAGCCTCCACATTCTCTTGAGATTCCTCACCGCGGTTCCCTCTAGCAGAACTCTGACTCATTTCCATCTAGAGAGGGAGATAACTGTGGCTTGCCTGTGGTTGTGAGGGGCTCAAGAGAGACTGCCTGGAGAGGGGGACCTCGGGGTCACTCTGTATGAGTCTGTGTATGCCTCTGCACGCAGGTTGTGTACAATGTGGGACTCTGCATCTGTCTGTTTGACATCACCAAACTGGAGGATGCCTATGTGTTCCCAGGGGATGGCGCATCACACACCAAAGGTGGGTATCTTCTCTTCTGAGGGTATTAGTTTTCTTGGGGCTTAGTTTTCCATAGTAAAAGGTCAAGCCAGGCTTGGCGCCTATAGCTCTGTGGTTAGGGCACCAGCCACATACAAGGCAGGTTTGAACCCAGCCCAGGCCTGTTAAACAGCAATGACAACTGCTGTTGTCAACAAACAAAAAAACAGCTGGGCATTGTGGCAGGTGCCTGTAGTCCCAGCTGCTTGGGAGGCTGAGGCAAGAGAATCTCTTTAAGCCCAAGAGTTTGAGGTTGCTGTGAGCTGTGAAGACATGGCACTCTACCGAGGGCAACATAGTGAGACTCTGTCTAAAAAAAATATAAATAGGCTCCACGCCTGTAGCTCAAGCAGCTAAGGCACCAGCCACATACATTGGAACTGGCAGGTTCGAATCTAGCCCAGGCCTGCCAAACAACAGTGACAACTACGACCAAAAAATAGCTGGGCATTGTGGCAGGCGCCTGTAATCCCAGCTACTTGGGAGGCCAAGGCAAGAGAATTGCTTAAGCCTGAGAGTTGGAGGTTGCTGTGAGCTGTGACGCCACAGCACTCTGCCCAGGGCTACAGCTTGAGACTCTGTCTCAAGCAAATAAATAAATAAACAAAAGGTCAAGCCAAAGCCAAGTGTGGTGGGCACCTATATAGTCCTAGCTACTTGGGAGACTGAGGCAAGAAGATTGCTTGAGCCCAGGAGTTTGAGGTAAAAGAGTGAGGCTGTCCCCCCCTCCCCCCAAAACAAAAGTAGAATAAGTTCAGGCCACAGAGATGGCTATAGAATGGTTGGAGTCCTGGGACCCAGTCCTGAAGCTGCCAGAAATTGACTTGGTAGCAATGGGTGGACTCTTCCCCTCTCTGGGGCTCAGTTTCCTCCTCTATAAGACCCAGGAGGTGGACCAGAGGATTCTCAAGGCCTCTCCAGCTCTGAGATTGTGGCTGCATGTCTGTGCCCCTTTTGGTCTCATCTATCAAGCTCTACTCTTGGCCTTGAGGCAGCTCACTGCCTGGAGGGTAGACAGGCTGGGCAGTGAGGAACCTGTGGAGTGGTCATCACTCACTTAGGGGTGTGGAGAGCAGAGGGAAGGGGGACTTTAAGGGCAGGATGACATAACAGGTAAGAGTGTGGCCTTGGGATTCGAAGCCCAGTTCTGCCATTTATTAGCTGTGTGTCTTGAGCAGAATATGTAACCTCTCTGTGTTCCTGTTTCGTCATGTCTGAACTGCAGTCAACTGTAGATTTTATATTGTAGACTGTTGTGAGGATTAAGGAGTTAATATCCGTAAAGGACAGGACTTGGCACCTAGCAAGTGCTCAGTGCCTTATTTATTCCGATTGTTCTTCCTGATTCTGTGGGCCAGTTGGGTGACATTCTTCTGGACTGGCTGGGCCAGGGCTGGATGGTCTAGAATGGCCCCCCATTCTAGTGGTTGGCATATGGGGAGGTCTAGTGGCCTAGGCTGGGCTGTCTCCTCTTTGCCCCACGTGGTCTCACCTCTCCATAGGCCTGGGCTCAGTGTTTTAAAGGTTCCAGAGCTCTGTGCACAAACTCTTCTCTTGCACCCCTGCTTAGATCTCACTGCTTAGAGCATGTCACATGGCAAAGGCCAGGGTACAGGGATGGAGAGATAGATGCCACCTCTGGATATGAGAATGTGCAGTCACATTGCAAAGGGGTGTGCATCTGGGATGAGACAGTGGTCCCCACGTCCTGGAAGAAGGGAGGAGTAGAAAGCCCCCTTGAGAGGAGCTGTGACCAGCAGTCAAAGAAGGTGGTGAGCCCAGGCACCCAGGGAGGGGGAGGACACTCTTCCCTCTCCTGCCTGGACTGAGCCAAACCTAAGGAAGAGGGTGAGAGGCCCCAATGAGAGAACTCAGGGCAGTCAGCGTGCAGGCCTGTGGCCTTGCCATCACTTGGCCTTGCCATCACTTGCCTGCTGAATCAGGTGCTCGGGGGTGGGCCCAAAGGTGCCAGGTGATTGTTGTACATGCCCATGATTGAGGAGCCCTGCCATGGTCACTGCTGGTCAGCCTCTTAGCACAGAGATGCCTGAGAATTCCAGGATGTTCTGAGACTGCCTGGTGTTCATGGCCAGCCACCTGGAGACTTAAATAGTTCCTATAGATATGGCTATGCTTAGCCAAGAGCCTGAAGAAACAGGCTAAGTAAGACTCCACTGTGGAAGCACCCACTAGGGCCTCTGGGTACGCAGGCGGAGGCTGAGCTGAGCCACTCTCTGCATTTGGACAGAGGCCTTGGTTGTCTGGGAGGCAAGTGGAAACAGGTACCAGAACTTCAAGAAAAACTGGAGAAAAAAATCAAGTGTGAAGAATTTCTGTCCATTCAGTGGGTTGTTTCTATGGCAACTAGTGTAAGATTTCCATTGGTGGCTTTTACTATCCCCACACCCTACCCTGGGTCCCCATTTTTGGGGAGCTAGGTAGAGGCATTCAGCAATCACTCAGACCTAGATTCAAACTGTGGCTCTAGCCCCCCTGGATGGGGATCTTGGACTGGTAACTCCGCGTCTGTCTGCCTCGGTTTCCTCATCTGTACAATGCATTAACACTTGTGACTCGGGTGGCGCCTATGGCTCAAAGGAGTAGGGCGCCGGTCCCATATGGCAGAGGTGGTGGGTTCAAACCCAACCCCTGCCAAAAAAAAAACCAAACTGCAAAAAAAAAAACCACTTGTGACTATAAGGCCAGGCATGGTGGCTCATGCCTATAATCCTAACACTCTGCGAGGCTGAGGCAGGTAGAAATCCTGACCTCAGGAGTTTGAAAATTTGGGAGGCTAAGGCAAGATCAATTGAGCCCAAGAGTTTGAGGTTGCTGTGACCTATGATGCCACGACACTCTACCAAGGGTGACAAAGTGAGATTCTGTCCCAAGTTAAAAGATACTTGTGACTATAAAGCCAGGTTTTGTGGCACATGCCTATAGTCCCAGCTACTCAAGAGGCTCAGGGGAGGATCACTTGAGCCCAGGAGTTTGAGGTTACAGTGACCTGTTATGCTGCCACCACATTCCAGTCTGAAGTAAGACCTTGTGTCTCTTTTTTTTTTTTTTTTTTTTGAGACAGAGCCTCAAGCTGTCCCCCTGGGCAGAGTGCCGTGGCATTACAGCTCACAGCAACCTCCAACTCCTGGGCTCAAGCGAGTCTCCTGCCTCCGCCTCCCAAGTAGCTGGGACCACAGGCACCCGCCACAGCACCCGGCTATTTTTTGGTTGCAGCCGTCATTGTTGTTTGGCGGGTCCGGGCTGGGGATTCGAACCCGCCACCTTAGGTGTACGTGGCTGGCGCCTTAGCCGGTTGAGCTATAGGCGCCAAGCCGACCTTGTGTCTCTTAACAACAAAAGCCAGTTGCAACTTTATAGCTCCTCCTTGAGCACTGGGCAGGGTGAGTGTCACTTTGTGGTGGCGATCAGTAACCCTGCTTCAAGGCAGACCATGACCCCAGGCACCTGTTCCACTGTTCCTGCCCCCATCTCACACTCGCCAGGGCTGAGAAGACCCAGCTATGTCATGCCGTCACCTTTGCTTTGGACGTACTCGTTTGCTGAGTGCCTTCTGTCTCTATGTCCTGTGAGCCGGGACTTGTTGCTTTCTCCCTCTGAAGCACTTCACATCTGTAGCCTGTTCTGGCACTGGTGACAATGCTGCCCTCATTAAATGACTGTGAGGAGGAAGCCAGCAAGTTCCTGGGAAGCCTTTGGCCCAGTTTTCACAGATGTTGACCTTTGTGATTTGAAACATTGACCCCAGTTGGCCACACTTGTCACTTGCTGCCTGCCCCCTGTTCTCTGTGCCCTCCAGTCCTCCAGAGCAGCTGCTTTGTGCCCACCAGTTCATTTATCTTTTTTCTACTGGGGTAAAATAGGTGTAACATAAAACTTACAACTTGAAACATTTATAAGTGTACCGTTCAGTAGTATGAGGCACATTCACATTGCTGTACTCCCTTCACCCACTCCATCTCCAGAACTTTTTTTTTGAGACAGAGCCTCAAGCTGTCGCCCTTGGTAGAGTACCATGGCGTCACAGCTCACAGCAACCTCCAGCTCTTGGGCTTTAGGCGATTCTCTTGCCTCAGCCTCCCAAGTAGCTGGGACTACAGGTACCCTTCACAATCCCTGGCCATTTTTTGTTGTAGTTTGGCCTGGGCTGGGCTTGAATCCTCCACCCTCAGTATATTGCCCCTACCCACTGAGCCACGGGTGCCACCTTCAGTGGTTTTTTTTTTTTTTTTTTTGAGATAGAGCCAAAAGTTGTCACCCTTGTTAGAGTGCTGTGGCATCACAGCTCACAGCAACCTCCAGCTCCTGGGCTTAGGCGCTTCTCTTGTCTCAGCCTCCCAAGTAGCTGGGACTACAGGCATCTGCCACACAGCCTAGCCAATTTTTGGTTGTAGTTGTCATTGTTTGGCAGGCCTAGGCTGGATTCGAACCCACCAGCTTTGGTGTACGTGGCTGGTACCTTAGCCGCTTGAGCTACATGCACCAAGCCTCAAACCTTTAAGAAATAAACCTTTTTTTTTTTTTTTTTTTGAGACAACCTCTACCCCCCTGGGTAGAGTGCTGTGGCATCACAGCTCACAGCAATCTCCAACTCCTGGGCTCAAGCAAGTCTCCTGCCTCAGCCTCCCAAGTAGCTGGGATCACAGGTGCCCGCCACAACGCCCAGCTATTTTTTTGGTTGCCGCCCTCATTGTTGTTTTTTGGTGGCTCCGGCTGGATTCGAACCCACCAGCTCAGGTGTATGTGGCTGGCGCCTTAGCCACTTGAGCCATAGGCACCACCCTCAGTGTTTTTTTTATTGAGAGTTGTACCACAGGACCGCCACGATCCCTCAACTTTTTCATTGCCCCATGAAGAAACCCCATGCCCATTAGCAGCCAGCCCTATTCTCCCCTTCACCAGCCTGGGCAGCCTCTGCTCTGCCTCTGTCTCTGTTTTACAAGTCAAATCACATAGTAGGTGGCCTTTTGTGTCTGGCTTCTCCCTCAGCTTCACCGGGGTGTGGCCTGTGTCAGAGCTTCTTTGCAAGCTGAGCAGTACCCTCCGAGTGTGGGCACCGCGCCTGCTTAGAGCCCCCCCATAGGTTGCTTTTGGACGTGGTTTTTTCAGGCTTCCTGGGCACAGGGCTATGTGTTGCCCCACCCCTGTGAGCCCAGTGCCCAAATGGGGCTTGGCACAAACCTGGCACAGGCTCTGCGAGGCTTTATGAACCTAAATTGAGTGTTGGGTCATGTTGGGGACAGGTTTTTTCCATCCAGTGGCTAAGTGACCCTAGGCTGCCGTTGTGTGCTCTCTAGGAGGTCAGCACGAGGTTTGGTCATCTTCACTGTGGCTGTGAGGGCTCAGGCTTGTCTCTATTGGGGAGGGGGCCTGCTTGTCCTTTCCTCATGCCCTGCTGTCCTGGGTGCCATGGCGGAAGCCTGTTTTTGGAGATTAAACCTGCCCAAGGAAGGTGGGCTTCAACTGTGGTCCTGTCTGGCAGCTACAGAAAGACTTGGAGGCTACTCATGGCAGAATGGGGCAGAATAGCTGTGACTGCAAGCAGGTTACTCAGGCTCTCTGAGCCATTTCTTCCTTCTCACAGTGGGAGAGTGACAGGCGGAATATGAAGACAGGCGCCCGCCATAGTAAGCAGACAGTGTTATGCTTATTCTCAGGCAAGAGTTGGATGCCCCCCTTGGGCCTCTAAGCAAGGGGCGGGGCTCAGCACCCGTAGTTCAGCGGATGGGGCAGCGGCCACATGCGCCGGAGCTGGTGGGTTCGAGCCTGGCCCAGGCCTGCCAACAGTGACAACTACAACAGAAAAAATGGCTGGGTGTTGTGGCGGGCGCCTGTGGTCCCAGCTGAGCCCAAGAGTTTGAGGTTGCTGTGAGCTGTGGCACCATGGCACTCTACCAAGGGTGACATAGTGAGACTCTGTCTCAAAAAAAATAAAATTAAAAAAAAATAAGTAAGGGGCAGGAGTGACACGAGTTCAGAGTCTGTGGTGTGAACACAGACACTATCTGCTATTTTCCTTGGGGTCAGTGAGTGGGGACCACCTAGGGCAGGGTGGGAGAACCCACAGAGGCATTTTTGCTGGGCTGTCTCCCCCACCCCAGTATCGGGGCTTCTATAGCATCTGCTTAGGTCAGAGCTGCACCTGGGGCACACTCTGCCCACAGCAGGGGATGGGGAATTTGTTTCCAAGCTTTATTCCCTTTGCTGGTTCCTTTTGTCCTTTTTAGAATTTAAGGGAGAGGGCTTAGAGGAAGGTTGGGATTGACTCTGGAGTCACTGGGGTCCAGGGTCTGGGTCCACGTGTGACTTCTGTGGTGGATTTGGGAGCCGGCCCTCAGCTCCAGGCAGCCAGTGCAGGCCCCTTACGGGGACCAGGCTTTTACCCTTGCAGGGGATGGAGAGAGGGTCTCTTCTGGTTCATCCACCAGGTCTGGGCTTACAGGGGGATATGGCATGGACCCCCCCAGCCCGCAGGCTCCCAGAGTAGCCACCTAGGCCTCTGGGTCAGTGAGCTGGCACATGAGGGTTGCTATCAGAGAGCATGGGTGGCCTGTCCTGGTGGCCATCCTTGTCACTGATGTACTTCATTTCCAGTCCATTTTCGCTATGTGGTCTTCCATCCGTTCCTGGACGAGATTCTGATTGGGAAGATCAAAGGCTGTAGCCCGGAGGGAGTGCACGGTAACAGCCCCCCTGTCACTAGTAATGGGAGCATGTGGGGGCAGGTTCTGTGCCCATCCACGTGGTGGGCGGAGGGAGATCTTCTGAGGTATCAGCAGTTTGCTCATCCCTGAAGGCCTGAGCATGGGGTACTCAGCCCCTCTGAAGTCCTGAGCAAGGACTTCAGTCAGCCATGAGGTCTCACTGTGAGGCCGTAACTCAGAATGTCAGAGTGAGCTGGTGAAAGTGTGTGGGGGTCCATGGCACCTGCTGGTCCCTGTTTGCAGTATCCACTTCAGGTTTTGGGGACCAGGTGCTCAGGTTGTGTGGGTGTGACAAAGGCTAGGCCCCGAGGTGGAGAAGGGGCCCAGATTTCCAGGATAACACTTGCCCCCTGGGCAGCACCAGGTAGGGAGCTTGTGTGTTGAGTAGCCAGTCCCTTTGTCTGTTCATTGGTGTCCCCCATCCCATGGTCTCACCTTCTTTATTTCCTCCAGTCTCTCTAGGGTTCTTTGATGACATCCTTATCCCTCCGGAATCGCTGCAGCAGCCGGCCAAGTTGTATCCTCCCAAGGCTAAAGTGGGTCACAGGGGACCTCAGGCCTAAGGGAAAGTCCTCACTCCTTGGGCTGGCCCATGAGTGCTGTGATCTGGTGCTGCTGGCTGTGCCGCCCCTTTGCCCCAGAAGCATAGACCTGCCTGTGGTGTCCATGTGCCTGTCTTGACCCTGGCTGTCAGACTTCATTGTATAGGTTGTGTCTTGTATACCATTGGGGCTCTGGTGTCCAGTGGGGTACCATTCACTTCTGGTTCAATTTTCTTCTCTTTCTTTTTTTTCAAGACAGAGCCTCAAGCTGTAACCCTGGGTAGAGTGCCTTGGCATCACTGCTCACAGCAACCTCTAACTCCTGGGCTCAAGTGATTCTTCTGGTGCCACCGCCTCCCAAGTAGCTGGGACCACAGGTGCCCGCCATAACACCTGGCTATTTTTTGGTTGCAGTCATCATTGTTTGGTGGGCCTGGGCTGGATTTGAATCTGCCAGCTCAGGTGAATGTGTCTGGCGCCTTAGCTGCTTGAGCCATAGACGCCAAGCCTGGTTCAATTTTATTTTATTTTTTAATTTTTAAAAAATTTTTATTTATTTTAATTTTTAATTAGTTAATTAATGAATTTTTTTTGGAGACAGAGTCTCACTTTTTTGCCCTCGGTAGAGTCCTGTGGCATCA